TGGTGCCGGGTCCTGCTGGAGAGGCTTTTCATCTCTTGGTCCTTTTGCACCCAGGGGGGATGGGTTTGGGGAAGACCGTCTTTGGTGAAAAATCATGAGATTTAATACAAGCCAAGCTCTTGCAGCTGCCTCCACGAGATGCTGGGTCACACACGGATTATTTTTCCCAGCCTTTTTCTACACATAAAAAGGCTAGAATTTATTTGCCTATAAAAGCCAAAAACCAAACATGGTTGCAAAATATTGGGGTGCTTTACAGCAAATAAGAAAGCCCAGTGAGGAAGGAATGCCGAGGGTGCCCTCTCCCAGCCCCAACCCCGGACCGCCTCGCACAGCCGTGGGGTGCAGGGGGAGTGGGAGAGGTCAGGGGGTGCCCAGGAGGGACAGGGGTGACATGCCCCGGTGGGATGGTGCCACCCAGCCACCCCAGCCCGCAGCACCTCGGCCCTCCTGGCACTCCCAGGGTGCCAGAAGAGCCACCTGGGAGCCCAGGGACAGGTAGTTAAAATACAGAGTTGTCAATTTAAATTAAAACATATTGCATAAAGAGGAAGAGAGATAAAACCTTCCCTGCAGCACAACGAGCTGGGGGATTTATGGGGTAGTGGGAGGACTGGTGCCCCGCACTGCAGTGGGCTCTGGGGGGCTGGCTCGCCTGCCGCTGCTCGCACCACGGGGCACCCCAAGGCACTGTGCTGGGGCACGGGGGCCACCTGCCACCTCCCCACCCCGGCCGTCATAGAGGCCAGAGCCGGGTCTGCGCCGAAATGTCAGCTCGCTAATAAAATGTGCAGGAACTGCGTTTTCTTTGGGCCAATAAAACTCCTGTGTGGTGGCAGGGATGCTCAGCACTCAGCTGCCCTCCCGCGCTAGCGCCCTGCTGGGCCCCCTCCCCACCTCCCTGGGGGGACACGGGGCCCGGTCTGACCCTGTGCTCGTGCCAGCCGTGCCAAACAGCGGGTGCTGGGCGCAGGCCCCAGCGCTGGCGTGGCACGCGGCTCCAGAGCCGTGAGTGGCATGGCGGGGAGTAAATCCACTGCGCCCTGTCAAGGTAAAGTGACAAAACACCGGCCTGCAATGCAGGAACCGCAGTTACAACAAGAGAAAATCAATGCGATATATTACCAGAGATATAAAGACGCCATTAATGCTTCAGCACAGAGCCCAGCAGCTTTGCCTGCCGTCGGCAGGGCAGGTTTGCTGCGAGGGCTCCCCAGATTCCCGTCTCGCTGCCCAGGTCTCCCACATGCTGGGCTCGGCTGTGTTTATTTGCTGCCCCCCCAGCAAAGGGCTTCTGTTCCTACTCGCTGCCTTCAGGGCTTTGCCCTGGCCTGGTGCCCGGCCTCCAGCTGGGGATGCGGCCAGGACTGCTGGGGCCGGAGCGGTGCATGGCCTTGGCGGGTGCCTTTTCAGCCCCACGGCACAAGGACCTGGTGAGGCTGCACCCCCTGGGCCAGGCAGGTGCCACCCCTTGTTCTGGGGTTCGCCGTGCCCATGCAGCTCTGCCACTCACCATCCCGCTGGTACTGAGCCCAGCACACTCAGGCACCTCCTGGATTTGATTGAAGAGGAAGAACAACCCCAGTGCACCGCGGAGCAAGGCTGCAGAAGGATGCGTGGAAGGCGCAGCACTCCCCTAGCACGGCGGCTGTGGGCAGGGAGCAGTCCATGTGCTGGGGACATGCACTGGGATGTGGGCTGCGGACATGTGTGCTGGGGACGCGTGTGTTGGGGACACGGGTGCCACCCCCTGCACAGCTCTCCATCACTGGGGACAGTTTGGACTATTACTGAGAAGTTGAGTCAAGCTTCTTCTAATTGATTAATCAATACCTTAATTGAGTTGAAACTCTTTAATGGGTAGCTTCGCCACTGCTTTCCCCTTTGCTGGCGCCGCTCTGATCTCCCACCGAAAACCTCTCTCTGTGGCTGGCCTCCACCGAGGCAGCGCTGCTGCTGGGCTCTCCCAAACTGCTGTGAATTGCTGGGGCTTGCAGCGGGCCACGGGGCTGGGGGCTGTGGAGGGCTTCTGCCATGGTCACAGAGGAGCCGGAGCATGCAGGGCTCCCCAGACGCGGGCAGGAAGGTGAAAGCCCCCCAGAAACAGGCTCAGCGCAAGGGGCTGCAATGTCCACGGCTCACAGTGCCACCTCTGCCAGACACGGCACAGCCCGTGGGCAGCCATGGGCTGGGACAGGACACACACCCCACCCGTGCAGCCTGCGAGCTGTGCCTGGAGGTACAGAGACCACAGGGGAAAGGGACCGGGGATGCGGGTCTGGTCACAGGCACTGCAGAGGTCAGACTCTCGCACGCTGGAGCCACAGCTCTGCAGAAGTGGAGATGAACATTTTATGGTAAAATATGCAGAGTGTGGGACAAAAGAGAAAGCGTTTCTTGTATAATGAGACACTGTTAGAGACAAGCTCCCCAGGAAACCAATTAACACAGCGCTTTGTGTACGTCAGGCCAACACCTGGCAAAAACAGCTTTCCCAGGGAGGACGCCAGCCGCGCGGTGCGACGGCCGCCCCCAGCACACTCCCGTCCCACAGCCCCTGTGATGAAGACAGCAACCCCACCTGTGTCACTGGCAGCATGGGGCCGGCTCTGCCTGCTGGGGTGCGGCGTGGGGCTGCTGACCCACACGGGCCCCGTGGCCCCACGCACCGGCATGGCTGCGGGCGTGCGCCGGAGCCATCACCCTGCGGCACACTCACAGGGCTGAGTGCTACGGGCGTCGGAGCCGCGAGCTGCCGGGGCGCGGCT